TTTTACGCAATCCTCCTTCCCTAGGTCTTATCAGAGTCTTTCTCTTGCCCCGTAGAATCCGTCTGCTATCTCCCTGGTTTAAGTATTTCCTACAATCTGCGTCTGATAAACCAACTTGAGACTGAAGAACTTGAGTATTTATCATGGACAAGCCTTTGCCACATGAACCACGTCTATGTTAAAGCAGGCCTACTGTCAGCAAACTAGCTCCAGTCTTCGCCGTGTCTATCCTGTTTCTTCCTCTAATACCAAGTATTTGAATTGCTATGCCCTATTCTCTTGTACGGCAACCCACATATGTTGTGGTACTACTTGCTTTGATAAAGTTCAATGTTGGTACTAGGGCATAGGAAGTGATAGACTTGGTATTAAGGATATAAATAGAAGAGACGCGAACGAGAATGGAGCTAGTTGGCTGACAATAGGTTTTTTACCATAGACATGGTCCATGTAGCAAAGGCTTGCCCATGATAATTACTCGAGTTCTTTAGCCTCAAGTTAGTCTAGCAGATGCAGAGTGTAGGAAATAACGCTTTGAGTAGCATAGATGAAGTCGTAGGGGCCGAGTAAAATACTCAAACCAGGGAGGTAGCAGACGGATCCTACGGAGCTAGAGCGAGACTTGGATAAATCTAGGGAAGGAGGACTACGTAACAATATGGCAGCCTCTGATCAACATTCTCAACACAAGGTTGAAGGTGGGTAAGAACGCCAGCGTAGAGTGTTGAGGGTTCTCATGAAATCTGCTCAAAAGAGCACACTACACTACATTTAAATAAACATGGAAAAAAATGTTAGTAATAATAAAAAAGCTCAGCATGTTTTCACCCTAAACGAGCGAGGAAGTCATGTGGACTGCGTAAACATGAATATAGTATAAATGCCAAACGGCTGCAGTAGAACGAGATTCATCCGTCCTCATCTGGTGAGATCGACCAACGAATTTCTTCTTCATGCACTTTTATACGAAATGAAGGTCCCACTGACAATAAAAACTTGTCATAGTGAAGGAGTGATACAAGGATATAAGAGAGGTGAATAGCTCATGACAAAGGGAGAGATACCACAACTGTTTAGCACACATTTGGTCAAAGGATCGGCTTCACTTGTCTCTTTGACGAGTTGTAATGTGGTACTTAGACTGGCAAGACTCATTGATAATGCCGACTACGATGCCGGCGAAACGTCTGAGAATGTACCCCGTCCATGGTCCAACTTTGGAAATGATGATGGAAACTGGATAAGGTGCCTTCCTCTAAGTCTTCCTACCAATTTGACCTATTTGCGAAACCAAGTTCAAACAACTTTTATACAACAAAAGAAGACTGCAACCACACAAAAGGTCACACCATTTTGGTCTTCATATCTTCGATTAAACTATTGAAGTAAGATTGTCAAACAACGCACCGATTACAGCCGGACAAAGTCAATCCTCCATTTGGCCTTTTTGAATTGTTGCAAACATTATGGTATCGCTCCCCAATTCTGCAATCTAATAAGGAAGTATCATTCGGGCATAGTCAATGAAATACTTTATCACGCCTCCATCCAGAAATTAGAGGAAAGTTACAAGACTGAGAGGCGTAAGCTATTTAAGTTCATAGATCTCAAGTCTAAATAAAGAAAGGATCTAGGTAGGGTTCTTACTTTGGATGATTCTTAAAAACTCCAGAGCATGACCGACCAGAAGTCACAGAGGGTCCAGGATCTGATCAATAATCGGCATGATAAGAAATTGCTTGACTATGGGATAATAAGACAGCGCAAGACCAAGCCAATCTGGACAATTTTTGATGGTTCTATATTAAAGGCATCAACTGCTAAAGACGACGATAAGACTAAGTTAGTAAACCTATCTTCAATCCCTTTTGATTCTGAAGCTACAGATGTCTTAAAGAAGGGGTTACATTTTTCCCTGGTGACGAAGGAAACGCTCTTAGTGATATTCTGGTGGAATTTCTCAACATATCGGATAAATATCGAGAAGAGACAAGGCAGGAGATGGAAATGGAAATGGAAATAATCCCACAGATCCTGGCACATCAAGAACCGATACACAGGAGCTGATTGGCTGGTATACGGAATAAATTACAAAATAATGAGCAAATAGTTGTTCAGGCGGATAAGAGAGGAGCGACGGTTGTAATGGACAGGAAACAGTACACAGAGAAAATGGAAAGTACCCTTGGCGACCGGAACACTTATTAAATACCAAGGAAGGATCCAACCATAAAGATCAACTGGAGATTGATGAATATGCTGAAGGAAATGCATAATAATGGGAAATCTTTAATCAAAAATGACGCAAGACCACCGACAGCCTACGGACTACCGAAGCTACACAAGGAAGGAAATCCGCTAGGATTAACAGTCAACAACAAACATGGAGCGATACACAAACTAGTTAAATTCATTTGCTCTAAACTCAAGAAAGTAAATAACAGACTCTCGAATACCGTCAAGAATTCATATGAATTTTCTCAAAGGATCCAGAACATTGGGCTGGTGGGGACAGAATTAGTGGTGTGAGTTTCGATATACAATCCATGTACACAAACATCTCAGGTGAGAAGACGGCAAGCGTTTTGCTGAAGATATTGGAGCTAGAAGAGGACATCATGGAGGCAGAACAGATGCGGAAAGAATTGTTAACAGGACTGGTAAACCTGACAGCAAGGGCCACATATTTTACATTTAAATGTTTAGTTTACATTTAGTCTACAATGTTTAGCACAAATTTGGACAAATGATCGGCTTCCCTCGTCTATTTGGCGAGTTGTAGTATGGTGCTAAGAATGGCAAGACTCACTGACGATGCCGACATCGATGCCCGCGAAGCGTCTGGGAATGTACCACGTCTACGGGCCTACTCTGGAAATGATGATGCATACTATGGACTCCGGACTAGGTGCGTTCCTCTAAGTCTTCCTACAAATATGACCAAGTTGTGAAAACTAGGTCAAATATCTTCTATACAAGTCATTTTTACTTAGCTTCTTACCGTTATTCCTTAAATTTAATGTAAGGAATGTAATGGAATGTAAGGAAAATAATGTAATTTTACGTTTAGCTGGAGACATGCCATAATCAGCAAAACGAGAAGTTTGAGACCATTCAATCTCGTGTCTAGTTTCTTCCGTCTGCTCAGCCAATTCTGATTTTTGAATCCAACAGACTCTGCATGCACTTTTCTTCTCAGCCACCCTTTCTCGAATGGGACGACAAGTCTCTCCAAAGTAAAAGCGACCACATGAATACATTATTTTGTAGCAACCCGATCTGGATAGTGGGTCAACTTTCTCTCTAAAAGTGGGCATAACTGAAGGCAGTGTCGTAGTTTCCCTGAAGACCGTTTTTATTACCAACTTCTTTACTTGTTCACCTCTCCTTTTAAAAAGCATGCACGAAGGTAAAGACAAAATATGTGAAAAGGTCTCCCTATCTCTCCTTACGTATTCACCATTCAAAAAACTATTTTTTATTAATCTAATGCTATTTTCAATCAAGCCTTGGGGATAATTATTCTCAAGAAATATTATTTTAAGCCGATCCTGTTCATTGTCACAATGGTCTCTATCGGCTAGTATTATGCCCCGAGTAATTATAGATTTTGAAACTCCAACCATTTCTTTGTAACTATGACTGAAGAAGAAGTTAATGACAGAGCCAACATGCGTTGGTTTTCTATATGCATCCCTGCTTACCTCCTTACCTGCTCTGATCACTAAGACAATCAGAAAGGGTAAATTATTGTCGTTCTCCATCTCCATTGTCAACTTAATATTACACTCAATCAGGTTAATTGAGAACAAAAAATTATCTAGATTATCCTTGCCATGCTGCCATATGGCAAAGTAGTCATCCATATATCTAACTAACAGTTTGGATGTCAATCCCACCTCCTCCATGAAGTGTTCCTCCATTCTTGACATGTAATTATTATATTCGTATGTAAGTAAGTTCGAGACTTCCAGTAAATCAGTAATATGGGATTTATTCACCCTATTTCGTTTATGGTGATGAAGGACTGGTAGTAGAATTTTCCCACAATGATATGAATAAAACGGCCATTTTCATTGGATTTCACAAAGCCTCCTTTTTGCGACACCCTCTATATCCTTGATAATATTACTAAGGCACAGGTAATTTGTTGTAGGAATTAAGACAAAGATGGTGTTACCTTTTGGGTGATCACAGTCTCCTTTCGTTGTAGAGAATTGTCTGAACTTGTTTAACAACTTGGTCATATTAGTAGGAAGACTTGTAGGAACGCACCTAGTCCGGAGTTCATAGTATGCATGATAATTTCCAGTCGGACCGTGGACGTGGTACATTCATAGACGTTTTGTCGGCATCGTTGTCGGCATCGTCAGTGAGCATTGCCGATCTTAGCACTACACTAAAACTCGTCAAAGAGACAAGTGCAGCCGATCATTTGACCAATTGCCTGCTAAACAATAGTGGTATCTTTCCTTCCCTCTAGGCTAATCATCAATCCTATATCCTCGATCACTCTATCACTATCAAAATTTTTACTTGCTTATTTATCTGAGGTATTATGTGTTCTTTTGAGCAGATTTCGTGAGAACTCTACACACTCCACGCTGGCTTTCACATCCCCTCACGCACTTCATCCTTGTGCTGGGAATGTTGAGCAGAGTATGCCCTAGGTCGTATCAGACTTTGTCATGCAATTATTAGCCAAAATGGGAGCCAAGCAAGATCCCGTTGCTAGACTTTGCACCTGTTCATAAACTTGATCATTAAAGGTAAAGTATGTGCTGCTCATGAAGAGATTAAGAAGCCTTAAGATTGAGCTTTTGCTCAGATTTGCCTCCCCAATAATCTCTGGGTGCTCATCTAGGCTGAGTGCTAGGGCTTCAATAGTTTTATGAACTGGGATGTTAGTATAAATTGATACCACATCAAAACTAACCAAAAGATCCTCCTCTAATATTATTTTGATCTAGCAAATTCTTATGAATTCTTCACTGAATATTTCCAATACACAACCAATTTCCTTAGTTTTCTACATGAGAAACGTGAAATCCTATACATCAAAGTACTCTTGTTATCAACAATCAATCTTAAAGGAACCCCTTCCTTGTGTACTTTTGGAATGCCGTAAGCCGAAGGTGCTCTTGCATCCCTCTGAAGAAATGAATTCATTTTCCAATTCTCAATTTCTCCTCTGCTTACTCAAACGTTAAGCGATTTCCTAAGTCTGGCCTTAAGACTCTCTGTAGGATCGTTAACCATAAGTCTGTGAGTTTCTGGGTCATTTAAATGTACCATCATTTTTTCTATAAAACTTAACCTATCCATGATGATCACTGCGCCACCTTTATCTGTCTTTAAAACAAACAGATCATTTCGATGCAAATATCTTATTCAAGTGATAAGATTTCTTTGGGATAATTACCTCATCAAAATGAGGAATCACTTCTATTTCTATACTATTCTCAGCCTCTTCTGACGGCTTATTCTTTAAGTTAATTAATTCAACCAGTACTTCATAGAATGATTTTGTTCATTTGGAAAGGCAAAGTTTAGACCCTTTTCTAAGACGAGAGTAACTTTAGCATTTATAGGTAAACTAGATAAATTAATGACTTAATTTTTGCCCAAAAAAATAGTACTGAGTTTAACTACTTCTATCATACGAATACTTCCTTATTGTTTCGACAATTCCTTGAGCTGAAGTTAATGTCTAAATTCCTTAAGTTCTTATCATGTCGGGAATATGGATATTATCCATCCTGTCCGCCAGAACGTCCGCCATATTTTGCAATTTCAAAAAGTCTTCTTGAGAAACCAGCAAATAAAGGGATTGTCTAGTCCTTGCTTAGGTTCTAATCAGGTCATGTAATTTGTCTATAAGTTCTTTTACTCTAGTCTTAAACAAACTACCTGATAAATGCTCCAGTTTCCTACTAGTGTAAATAGGCAAATCCGGTCATATAGCTACTGCATTATGCAAAATAAAAATTTTTAAAAATCTTACCTCATCAATGAGTCCAAATATAGAGTATATATAGAGATTTTTAGGGATTTGCAGGTGAGTTTTTTTGACTCGTTATCTTGAATTTGGTTGCAACGATGATACCTTGCTCTGATGATGTCCG